AGTTGGGAATGTTCAGGGAGTTCGGGAATGTCCAGGGATTTGGGAATGTTCAGGGAACCAGGAATGTTCAGGTAGTTGGGAATGCCCATGGAACCAGGAATGTCCTGGGAACAGGGCATGTCCAGGGAATGTTCAGGGAGTTTGGGAATGTTCAGGGAGTTGGGAATGTCCAGGGATTCAGGAATGTCCAGGGATTCAGGAATGTCCAGGGAGCCCATTCCGAGCCCTTTCCAAGGAGGGATCAGTGGGATTTTGGGAATTCTGGGTCCTTCCCAGGGATGGGATTTGGGAATTCCGAGCCCTTTCCAGGGAGGGATCAGCGGGATTTTGGGAATTCTGGGTCCTTCCCAGGGATGGGATTTGGGAATTCCGAGCCCTTTCCAGGGAGGGATCAGCGGGATTTTGGGAATTCCATACCTGAGCAATCCCGGGACGCCGTTCCAGCAGTTCCGGTGGAGCCGGCGGCGCTTGACCAGGAAGGACAAGGCCAGGAGCACGGCCAGCTGGAACGGGACGGAAATCCATGGAAAAGGTGCCGGGAGCGCTGGGAACCCCATGGAAACCCCATGGAAACCCCAGAAATCCATGGAAAAGAGACTTGGGAATGATGGGAACCCCATGGGAATCCCATAAATCCATGGAAAAGGGGTTCTGGGAATGATGGGAGAGGTGGGAACCCCATAAATCCATGGAATGATGGAAATGATGGGATTTTCATGGAAACCCCATAAATCCATGGAAAAGAGATTTGGGAATGATGGGAACCCCATGGAGACCCCAGAAATTTATGGAAAACGGGTTCTAGGAATGATGGGAATGATGGGATCCCCATGGAGACCCCACAAATCCATGGAATGATGGGAACCCCATGGGGGCCAATAAATCCATGGAAAAGTGTTCTGGGAATGATGGGAATGATGAGATCCTCATAGGGGCCCCATAAATCCATGGAAAAGGGATCCTGGGAATGATGGGAATGATGGGAACCCCATGGAGACCCCACAAATCCATGGAATGATGGGAATGTTGGGAACCCCATGGAGGTCCCATAAATCCATGAGAAAGAGACTTGGGAATGATGGCAATAATGGGATCCTCATGGAAACCCCATAATTCCATGGAAAAGAGATTTGGGAATGATGGGAACCCCATGGAAACCCCATAAATCCATGGAAAACAGACGTGGGAATGGTGGGGTCCTCATGGAAACCCCATAAATCCATGGAAAAGGGTTCTGGGAATATTGGGATTCTCATGGAAACCCCATAAATCCATGGAAAACAGACTTGGGAATGGTGGGATCATCGTGGACACCCCATAAATCCATGGAAAAGGGTTCTGGGAATGATGGGATTCTCATGGAAACCCCATAAATCCATGGGAAAAAAAGCCCTGGGAATTATTTGGGAGGAATTTTGGAGTTCTTGTCCCACAGGGAAACGAAATCCCGGAAATCCGGGAATTCCGGGAAAATCCATCCAAGATGGCGCCGGCAACGAAATCTGTGGGAAATTTGGGATTGGGGTTTTTTGGGGGGAATTTTGGGGCGGATACTCACGGAAACGGGAGCCATGATGGTGTGGTACAGCCGGGGGGAGAGGGTGGGGTGGCATTCCGGGATGGCGTCGGGAAAAAGGCTGGAAAAACGGGAAAAATCCCGGATTTGGGTGGGCTTGACCCTAAAAGGGCCTGGAAAATGGTGGGAAACGGGAAAAATCCCAGATTTGGGTGGGTTTGATCCTAAAAGGGCCGGGAAATGATGGAAAATGGGAAAAATCCCGGATTTGGGTGGGTTTGACCCTAAAAGGGCCTGGAAAATGGTGGGAAACGGGAAAAATCCCAGATTTGGGTGGGTTTGATCCTAAAAGGGCCGGGAAATGATGGAAAATGGGAAAAATCCCAGATTTGGGTGGGTTTGATCCTAAAAGGGCCTGGAAAATGGTGGAAAAATGGGAAAAATCCCGGATTTGGGTGGGTTTGATCCTAAAGGGCTGGGAAAAACAGGGAAAATCCCAGATTATGGATTTTTAGGATTTTTTGGGATTTCCCCCCTTAAAAGGGCTGGAAAAATGGGAAAATGGGGGAAAAAAATCCCGTATTTGGGTTTAATCCTAAAAGGGCTGGGAAAACCAGGAAAAATCCCGGATTTGGTATTCTGGGGATTTTTGGGATTTCCCCCCTTAAAAGGGCTGGGGAAAATGGGAAAAACGATGGGAAAATGGGAAAAATCCCATATTTGGGTTTAACCCTAAAAGCGCCGGAAAAATGATGGGAAAATGGGGAAAATCCCGGATTTGGGATTTTTAGGATTTTTGGGATTTTGGGAGCACTTTAAGAACCCTTTGGGTGACATTTTGGGGACACCTTGGGGACATTTTGGGGACAATTTTGGGGGATTCTTTGGGAACATTTTTGGGACATTCTAGGGAATTTTTGGGGCCACTTTTGGGAACATTTTCGGGACATTTTGGGGACATTTTTGGGACATTTTGGGGACATTTTGGGGCCACTTCTGGGGACATTTTTTGGGGATTCCTTGGGGACATTTTGGGGAACTTCTGAGGATATTTGGGGCCACTTTTGGGGACATTTTGGAAAACTTTTGGGGTCAGTTTTGGGAATATTCTGGGGACATTTTTGGGGACATTTGGGGACATTTGGGGACATTTTGGGGACACTTTTGGGGATATTTTGGGGACATTTGGGGGATATTCTGGGAATATTTTGAGGGACATTCGGGGACGTTTTTGGGGACATTTTGGGGCGACTAATGGGGAACTCTTGGGGCCACTTTGAGGACACTTTTGGGGACATTTTTGGGACTTTTTTGGGACTTTTTTGGGACTTTGGGGGACATTTTTGGGGACATCTTTGGGAACATTTTGGTGACATTCTGGGGACGTTTTGGGGATATTTTGGGGACATTTTCGGGACATTTTGAGGGACATTTTGAAGGCATTTTGGGGACCATTTGGGGGCCACTTTTGGGGATATTTTGGGGACATTTTGGGACATTTTGGGACCACTAATGGGGAACTTCTGGGGCCACTTTGGGGACACTTTTGGGGACATTTTGGGGATAATTTGGGGATATTCTGGGAATATTTTGGGGGATATTTTGGGGACATTTTGGGGACATTTTGAAGGCATTTTGGGGATATTTTGGGGCCACTTTTGGGGATATTTCGGGGACAGTTTTGGAACTTTGGGGGATATTTTGGGGCCACTAATGGGGAACTTTTGGGGCCACTTTGGGAATACTTTTGGGGATATTTTGGGAACATTTTGGGGCAATTTTGGGGATATTCCGGGGATATTTTTGGGGACATTTTGGGGATATTCCGGGGATATTTTTGGGGACATTCGGGGGACATTTTGGGGCCACTCACTCATCCTGGGCCGCGGACTCGGTGGATTCGTAGATGTACCAGTCGGATCCCAAATCCTCGTCCAGGAAAATCCCCGGCTCCAGGGGGGAATCCCGAATTCCCACCGAGCCGTTGGGGGCCATGGCCGCCCCTGCCCCGCCGGGATCCCCGCGGCTGGAAAAGCAGGAAAAACCCCGGGAAAAACGGGAAAAAACCCGGGAAAAAGGGGGGAAAACACTGGGAAAAGCGGGGAAAACGCTGGGAAAAACGGGGAAAACGCCGGGAAAAGCAGGAAAAACGCCCAAAAAGTGGGAAAAACATTGGGAAAGTGGGATAAACCCTGGGAAAGTGGGCAAAAAAATGGGAAAGGAGGGGGAAAGGGCAAAAAAATGGGAAAGGAGGGGGAAAATGCAGGAAATGTGGGAAAAATGCCAGGAAAATGGGGGAAAAAATTGTAAAAGAGGGGGAAACCCCGTGAAAGTGGGAA